AATTGTACAATGAGACGAACGCTTTTTATACAAACATTACAAGATAAAAGCAAAAAAAAAAAAGAAAAAAGAAATGAAATATAAACCAGGTTATTTTTCATTTTGCCCTAAAATAAGTATGTAAAATAAGTATGTTCCCTTTTATTGGGGGAACGTACATATTACTAAGTTAATTTTCCTTCTAAGTTTAACTTATAGTTCTTTAAAAAAAACAGCAACAACGGCAACAATAACAACAATAATAGTCAATAACGTACGAGATTTTTTAATAGTCCATGGATTTCTACGAAAATTTTGGTATAATATTGTAAAATATGATACTTTAGCCATGTATTTTTAATTTTTGAATTTACTAATTATTTCTAAATTAAACAGTTATCTCTTTTCTTCTTCGACAACCCTCGTATAGTCAATTTATAAAAATATTGTTAATTTTAAAGCTTATATATAAAACGTTAATTGGGACATGTAATAGACAATGATGTTATAATATAGTTATATGTTGATTTATGTAGAGGTGATCAGTCAATTGTGATCTACCGTGAGGGTGACGTGTTCTGTAATTAGTACTAACTGATATTGCCATTTATTATGGTGACAAAATATAAATTATACCTAATATATTATATGGGTCAGTTATAAACTTATATATTATATTTGTGAAGAGTAGACAATGAACAGACAGGTCTCTATTGTTTTAAAATAACCATAGTGTCAATATTTGAATATGTAACTATACACATGATGATTTATTAGTACTGGCTTCGGACATTTTGGTGATTTAACCGTAAAATGATATATTGAATAAGCAAAGTATAATAAATAAACGGTGACATATTTCAAAGTGATAAATGAAATAATTATCAATCATCATCAAGATGTGAGATACCATTGTTGTAATTGATTTAAAAGACAAAATTTATGAACAAGAGCAGCAACAAATTTTTGTAGCGTTTTTGTACATTTTGTTGGTGATAAAATCTCGCCAGACATGACAGAGTTATCTCCCCCTGCCTGCAGGCAAACAGAACGAAATATTTCCTAAGTATTTGACACATTTGCTGTTTCGCACGTTCAATTGCTGATTATATAGATATTATTTCTAATTTATTGATGACAACTAAAGATTAAACAGTAACTATGTAAAAAAATATTTTCTTTTGAAAGAATGTAGAACTGTTTATACTTTTAAGTGTAAAATATACAAATATACATCTTATTGAAATATACCGATATGTTCATTTTCAGTTTCTTAATTAATTGTTATTCATCAGTACAAAAAGAACCCAGGTGGGCACCGCCTATGAACACCAAGCTATTAATATTTAAACAAGATCAAATAAAGGTACACACTCTCTACCATATTACAAGATAAATTACAATGTATGTACAAAATAGAAACTTCAATCATTCACTGTATTACGTGGATATTATTAACCGCGAACAAAATGAGTAAATACTTAAATATCATTTCATTTTCACTTCATAAGACTCCGAAATTAGCAGATAAAAGTGTGTAATGAGCTAAAACATTAACAAAAATGCGAAACTAAAATTACTGGCTTTACAAATTACAGAAATTAGCATATCATGTGATATCTACACGCCATGAGGGTGAAACATGTCGTTGTGATGCAGTTATCAAACCATCTAAATCATCTAGGGGTATTAAATTATCATTAGGGAAGTATAGAACCCCAGGCTTCTTACCCATGGCATCGTATTGTTTTTGTTATACACGCGATGTAGCAATTATTTGATATGAAATCAACTTGATTCCTAATTTAAAATATTTCTAGGATTGTTTTGAGTATGGGAATGTACTAATTTATGAATATTTAGCTGTAATCATTCGCACTCTTGAGCCGGCAGATATTTTGTATTACAATGTATGTGTGCAGTTATATATGTACCAATACCGCGCCGGACAAATTTATGGCGTCATTTTCTGTAACGTAAAAACGTTCAAAACGTAAAAAACGTCAGTAGTGCGACGATTCTTAAAGATGTCAACAGTTATACATTGTGTATTAGAAATGGTAAAACTACGTCAGAATAATCTGAATAATATCTATGACAATATTTTACGACCAGCTCGGGTCCTTTCACCCGTACCGTCACATTTTTATAATATAACACATTTGAGACACCTATTACAAAACATTTCGAAACCACACAATAAAATATTTCATATGTGATCTGCTTTAGCATGTTATGAAAAATATTGGACTCTTTTTCTTGTACATCTACCTCTAATAGAGAAGAATATTAACCTTTCTAACATAAAAAAACTATTTTATTCGGCATTTTATGAACAAATTCCGACATAAAACCAGTCGCTGATTAAGTGGGAGTCAAACTTCAATTTTATAAAAAGCAAAATCAGCATCGATAGAACAATGTTCTATTCTTCTTTCTAACAGTTGTTTCACGGTCATATACTTTATACAACAAAAATAAACTTAAAACTCAAAGGAAGAAAATATATAAAACAATGATATAAACGTTCATGTGAGTGTATTAATGCTATAAACTGGTTTAATGGGCACTTTTAAAAATATCAATAATAACTTAGTTTTTACACTTCAAAAGAATGTGTTTCACAAATGTTGTATTAATCCAGCATAAAAATCAAAAGGTATTTGTGATATTTTTTCACGTTAAATTAACGGTTTTAGCATATATTTTACTGACACTAGCATTTGAACGCGTGTTTCTGATAGTATTGAATTAAATGGGTTTGAATTATTCCTATAATTTCAGTATTATTATCATTTTATGTATTCAAGATAATTATCGTTTATCTAAACACTGCCGTTTTAAGAAATAAAAGGACTCGATCAAAGATTATGCTTTTTAAAAAAATCTGTTTAAATGACTGGTTGACATTGATAGCTTTCGTTTGAAGTTTATATGTTTATTGAAACACCTGTTTTATGAAAGGTATCCGTGAGAAGGTTCAATAAATATACTTTACCTTTAATAAAGTAAGGTACTAGATAAACTATATAAGGACTAACATTAAAGATTATCTTCTTTAGATAAGATTTACAATTTTCATTTAATATTTAAACAATCGAACCTTAAATTAGTATAGAACATTGTCCAAGCAAATTCATTTGAAAGAAAGTGGATGTAAAAGAGGCAAATGAAATTGCAAAAGAACGCCATAAACGGCAAAATTAAAAATGTTGGTAACTCGGTTTGATTGAACCTGCCCATGGACAAATATTGTTTTGTGCTCGGTACCGTTCACGCTACCTAGCACCGGCTTAATCAGAATATGTTTTGGCGAAATTTTGAATTAAAAAAAAGTTGCAGATTTGCACATCTAAAAGTCAACTTGTTTAAAATTGCCACAGTTTTTTTTTCTCTCTCGTTATTACAGGAAAGAATCATTAAAAACACATGGCCTAAATACGTTTTAAAATGCATTGTAAATGCAATATGCACAGTGTTTGCCAAATCGGTACGTATTCTCATTATAGAAAGGGTCAGAGAAATTAACTCCTCGTTAAATAACCATAACAGATCTTGCATTTTGTTTTAGCGCATTAATTCGCGTGCTATGATGCGCTACCTGCAGACGCAAGGCCTTGTAAAAATCTGAAGAAGTTTTAATAACAATTTTTATGTTGCTATGCCTGTTTCTGATTACTCTAATATGTTAAATGCTAACTTAATAATATTTTCAAAGAATAACCGGCGGATAGTTTATTGTTTTATTTATAGACGAAATATCGTAGGTGAGGACAATTAATGTACACCGGTTGTTCATTGTAATAATTTAATTATATAAGCCAGTTCGATGACGTACATTGTCTGGCGGTTAGGGTAATTTACGCCTTGTATTTACTTCAAAATTTTGCACCATTTATAATTTAATTTCTATGAAAAGATCTTCTCCAAGATAACGAACAAAACAACAATGTTCCCATACTATTACTGCTGTATTTAAGTAATTCAGATTGACAAATAAGTTACAAATTGATCAATTTTTGGTATCCGTTTGCTTACAACACATTTATAGATCTATATCTTAAACGTTCACAGTTGAAAAGTGTCCAATTGTTGGTAATTATACTGAAATCATTTTTGATAAGTTGATTTCAACGTTCGTATACACGCCTGTCGCCTTTGGAGACATCTATCTCAAACAGAATCAAAGTAATTATAAGGAATTTTCACTTTCCTAATCAGAATATTCTGTTACAAGTTTTCGTTCACATCAATTACAAAAGAAACTTCTGTCCCGTCATTTGCATGATAAAAGTCACGGTAAAATAATCTGAATCAGGTTTCTTAGTGCATGTAACACTTTGGCAAACTGGTTGGAACGGTTGCGGTTACATTTATAAACATTTTAGGATTTAATCAAACTAATTTATTCATATACAATACTATTCACTTGTAAATATCTTTTATACAAATCAGTAAATCGGCTTAATGTATATTATCTTAAGGAATGAATTAACGAATGAATTACCAAAACTTCTTTGGGCATTCGTCGTAATCCGTTAAGCAATTAAGAGAGGCTTCGTGTGATATATAATTCCCACAAACCACAGTATTAGTTCAACTAAAGGAGAGAGTATAACACTCCGACATATAATCAGGGTGACTGAACAGTTATGCCCCTTTGACAAAAGTCCATTTAAATGGTCAACAGATTTTATGTCTTTTGTGTTAAAGAATTCAATCATTACAGGATGGTGTCAGTAGAAACCAGTTTTGTAACATTACGTCTCTATGACAGTTACGTAATTGATTTTTGTGGTATTGCAAATTAGTTGATATGTTCATGTACGTGACACATTTATCTGTATTCTAGTCGCCTTCTCCAATCATTTTATTTGCATTGATTGAAAACGCTACAGTATCATTTGTTTTGTAGAGGTTTCAATTAAGAAAAGACTACGATCCTTCAAAGAAACAGTTAAATTATATTACATAATAAAAGATTATATTCTAATTGTTGATGCACATTTTTCTACTTTCAGGCTGTTTACAATTATGCAAAGGTAGCTTGTAAATGTCACGGCGTGTCAGGCTCATGCAGTTTAAAGACGTGTTGGCAACAGCTTCCAACATTCAGAGAGATCGGTGAGCGTCTCAAGGAACGCTATGATGGCGGTGTAGAGGTAAAATTTAACAAGCGAGGAACGAAACTGAAAAGAAAACATAAGAAATATAATAAACCATCAAAAGAAGATTTGATATATTTACAACAATCGCCCGACTATTGTCAGGCAAACAAAGACACTGGTTCACTAGGAACTAAAGGACGTGAATGTAACAAAGGGTCGGACGGTATGGACGGTTGTAATTTAATGTGTTGTGGGCGTGGCTATAATACATTTAAAAAGACACTTGTTGAACGGTGTAACTGTAAATTTGTCTGGTGTTGTCATGTGAAGTGTAAAACTTGTGAAAGTGTTCAAGATATTCACGTGTGTAAGTGATCCATCTAATAAAACAGGATCTATCGAGCGTATTGAAAACACATCATGTTCAGAATGAATGTTATTTAACAACAGAAAGCTTTTGAAACCTTAGAAATGACATGGAGAAAACCATTTTAGAATGAGATAATAACCAAAACACATGGACACCTCATAGACAATAGACGTGTAGTGTGCAGGTCTTGATTTACCCGCACTAATCTTGGATCATTCAGGAACGGAGGGTTGAGTGAGATTTGTCTTTTATATTTATATGCAATGTGATTATATTATATGCAACGTCTGACAGCGCGATTTGTTTGTAATGTGATTTCCATGTAAACATTATAAAACATGAGACCTTACTGTATGGCCAGTTTTTTTTTATTTCACATTTGTGCAATATGTCGATATGTGTAGCGGAAGTGTATCTTCCAGCTCCTAGGACTGTTCCGGTTGTACTGTAGGAGATCCTTTTCTCTGATTAAAGACAACGCTCTGAAATAAGGAACAGTTTGTTAGTGCACGTGAACTCGAACATTTGTTCACGGATTCTCATCGAGTGGAATGAAGATTTTAAACAGAGAACGTTTCTATGGAAACACAATCCAAGAAATGTTGACATTATCTCGTAGTTTCGGAACTGTTCCCTTAGGAATATGTACAGGCGAGAGTCGTTCCTTCTTTTTTATAATTTCGACATGAAAAGGAAAGGCACGTTATCCGCGTTACAGCAGAAGAGAGTTAGTCCCCTTTATACAAAGATGACGGGTAGACATTGCCTACCCCTGAACTGAATATGTATATGAAATTGTATGTGTTTTACAAAAACAGTTAAAACACCAAAGATCTGGTTGCACTAAGTGTGATTATAAAAAGCAACAGATCTTTTATTCTTATACTGTAATTTTTATATTAGATTATGATATTTATGTCTCAGAAATTTTGTTTTTATATCTGAAAAGAATTGTAAATAGTGATGTAAAAAGTGTATATATATATACTGTGAAGAGTTTTACAATTTTTTATCGTTGTTATATCAGTATATATTAAAATGTTTCGTGTTCAAACTAAAAATCATATTATAAAACAGGGTCAAATACTTAGAAAACGTGTTATGATACTGATCATCTAGGTGTGAGGGTCAGATATGATCGTTTCATTTTCTCAAATTTCGCTGAACGAATAAATGTTGTTTTATTATTATTAATTCATTTTTTTTTTCATTCCAAACCAAATTTCGCAAAAAAATCTTCGCTGATAAAAATAAATAGATTTTTGAAGTAACAAAAAAATAACAGAAATTAGGTATATCTAAAACATCAACTGGTAAATATGTATGTATACCAATATGGAAGTGAATGGTATTTTTACAATGTTACCATGGAAACAAAGAAGAGAAACGTCATCAATCTCGATTTTGTTTTGTTTTGTTTTTGTTTATACGACTTACTTTGGCATATACCTCACAATTTAATGTATTCAGACAGGGTCTGTCCAATAGATTTTTTTCTATGTGAAAGCACCTTATTCTGACAAACTAGATGATAAGTATTGTTGTAGATATAGCTATAGTGACGTCATCTTTAGCGTGATTACGTCATGCGCGGTACATGCATCTCTTCTATTATCATCATTTCCGGAAAAAAAAACACCATAAGATCATGCTGAAAAAATTATCTTGACAAGGTTAGTGAAACAAACAATTTTGCTTAAAAAGAACAACACGTTTTTTTTAAAACACCATTTATATTAATTGATTTTGATATGAATGAATAAAATGAAAATACTTACGTGTAATCATGTTTTTGATTATATGTCTCAAAAACTTTCGTATCTCATTTAGAAAAAAAGACCACGAACATTTCTTTTCTGTAATTTTATCTGCCATATCATTTTTGTAATTTCAATTACATTTTTTTCTCATGAATATTTGAAAAAAAAACTAAACTTAATTACATCAACACATTAGTTCTCTAAATATAGATATAAAAATTTCACACAACGAAAGTTTTGTAAAGGAAAAAAATAACATACAGAGAATAAAAAAAAGATATAAGAAAAATAATATCTTGATAAAATTGTTGACCAATCAAGATTTTGGTAAAAATTAATAAAGAAAACAGCATGAAAATATTTGTGAGTGTATAAACATATTTCGAATTCTTTTCTTTTATTTTCGATGTTATAGCTATTAGTTTTGTAATTACATTTTGTATTTAATATTTATTGCGTCCTCCATCAATATTCATCAACTTTTCATCAACTAGAAAAAATCATGGGTTATTTATTACATTTTTTTTCTTTTGAAAACGAAAACTGTTGCTTTGTAGAACGATGTGGTTGAATTAAGAAATAAACGATAACTATTTTTTGGCTTTAAAATATGATTCAAGATGAAAACAAGAAATTTAGTAAAACCGTACCCGGTCTCTAAGTTCACTTATTTAAATAAGCCTTTATTTTTTTGATAACAAAAATCAACTTGTTAAAAAGAAGTTCAACATTTATAGAATTCACATATCATTTTTATCATTTGTTACAGCGTCAAATGTTTGTTATTTTTGTTTTGGTGATAAATTTATTTCTATTTCTAATTTTGTTTATAAAAAAAATAATTGGCCCATAAATACTTACATTGCACTTCAATAAAAAATAAAAAAAATAACATGTATATTGTTTTTGTTATATTTTCAGACAGACATAGCTATTTGTCGTTTCGGGAAGGTTTTGTTTTATCTGTGTAATCACAGCTTTAATTAAAGTCATGGTATAATCATGGACTGCGTTTAATAGAAAGTCCTAGGTGTATCCTAAGTCCTAGGACATAAAACCCACTTTAGGACTAACTTAAGACCGATTCAATAAACTGTTTTATCTTCAATCAAATACTGTAGATTATAAATGAATTCAGTATCGTAAGAAAATTTAAGAAATACAATGACATACCCTTTTATTCGCAATGTGTAAATGCCCATCAGCATTGCTATACATAAATTAAAAGAATCATAAACATAGGAGTCATAAGTGAGAACATTCTATGAAACTCAGCCCTGTATTTCAAATATAACTCAGAAGAAACATCAAATCATCACTAAATACAGTGCCATGTCGTACCGTTCCGACTGAGACGTACAATGCCGCACAATACCTTATCCGATTTCTCTTTCCTATGATGGTTCCCATCCAAGATGGTTGACCATAACTTTATGGAAGTTCGCATGTGTCACATTCATGATATGTTGTAGCTTAACACCGTTTCTAATGATGGCAATAAGAAAACCCAGAAATGATACTGAAGATGAAAATGATTTTATTACACTTACCTGAAGTCCTGGTATATCAATTAATACTGTTATTATAAGCCATGGTTTATCAATGGACTCCGTTATAATAAGACATAAGTTACAATAATGGACTCTAAATTATTATAAGTCATGGTTTATTGATGTAGTAAGGAACATATATCAATGAACGTTGGTATTTCAAGACATGGTATGCAAATACAAACTATTTTTTAAGACATGGTATATAAATGGAAACTGTAATGTACGTATATATGCTATAACAATAGACACTGTTATTCAAAGGTATATCAATGTTATATCAAGACATAGTGTATTAATGGGCACTACTATTTTAATTAAGACATTATGTCAAATTGCGTTGTTTTAAGACATGACATATAAGACATAACTTATTAATGACATCTGTTATATTAATAGTTATGTTATAAACAATAAACACTGTTATGTTAAGATATAATAATATATCGATGGACCTGAATTACCGAAAACATTAAGTAGTCACTAATAGTTTCTGTTTTAATTATCCATTGACTCATACTATAATACATCTATCAATTTAGTTAAACGTACAATGTGCACGTAAGAGCGCTTACTTCAGTACATACAATATACAGTTTTTTTTCCATGTTAAATTAATTGAATGTTAAATGTGAAAATATAGTTGATAACTTCTAGTTAACCATAGACTATTATTTTTATTGTTTTCGCTAGTTTTTGTGACGTACTTAACGGTAATAACAATTCAATTTCAAAACACTTATCCTTAGATCTTGTTTTCATATATCTGAAACATCGAGTTCCAGTACTAAAACCAAAGATTGGAATTACTTTGGTTACATTTCGGAATATATTATAATTCAACTCATGAGGCGGAATAAAACGTGCACAGTTATATAAAATAACAATAAAAATGTAATACAATTTAAAATATATAATTGAAATAATTATGGTAGATAGTATCTTATATTGTTGTACTAAATAAACCTTTAAAAGATGCCGCAATATTTGTTACACACACTGTACCGCACGTGTGGCGCTGGCACTTGTGTCTAGTTGGACTTTATTAATTGGCTTTTTAGGCACATCATCGAAATGTTAAATAGATATGGCGGCTTTCCAGTTTTACTTGTGGAGAAAGACCACAAGTGCCTCTTCAAAGCAAGCGGTCACCGATGGAATGGACTCATGACTTTCCAAAAGCTATACCTTAGAAGAATATGAAAGATGCAAAAAATTCTTTAAAAGGTTTGGTCACACACCGATGAGTGGCATTGATTCTATTATAGCGTGCTCAACCTAAGGTCATTCTTGCTATTACAAATTTTACTTGCGGTCAAAACATATCATACTGTTTATATAGTTTTAAGTGTCGCGTGATATCCAGACAGACAGGTATGTCACGTGTTCACGTGTACGTGGTAACGTGTATAGGCAAACAATTAAAAAAAGAAAATACTATACGAGTATGTTCGTGTATACAAGTAACTAAATATTCCAGTGACTCACCACAAAATGCTTAAAGAACAAGGTGTTTAATCAGGATTCGATCGTTATAGACGGGTTATAGAAATAAAATAAAATAGCTTCGAGGAAATACCTTTAACAGAATCTTACGTACATGCCAGGAAAACACTATCAAACAATCAGAAATGTTAATCTTTATATTCAAAACTGTTGAAAATTACTTAATACTTTATCCGCCTAAATATCAAATTTTGAACTTACAGTTGAAGCATAATGTGTAACACGATGATTAGAAAATGTCTATAATAAATGTTATAATAGAAGAGCATGTTTTAATGGTATAGTATTTTAGCGGAGTGTGTTAGAGGACAGTAACTTTTCATTAAAGGTCTTTAATAACCTTCAATGTCCATTGTGTCACAGAAAGGCTTCCATTTCTTTTTTATTTCTTAAAATCGTTTTTTAATAGTTTCCAACAAGTTACCAATTGGTCAATTAACTTCACTATCTATTTCTTCTGTTAGTTTTTTTGTTTTTGGCAATTAATACATTAATAGTGATTTAGTATTTTGTATGGAAGTCAAAATGCTACTTTGTTTTGCATTTTGCTACTTTTATCACATATTCCTTTACATTAAGCGCTATTTTCTTCAGGTAACAAACATCTTATATGCTCTGAAACCATTATTTAAACGTTATAAAATTCATGTTTTACCTGTTTAAAGAAGTAAATATCTATTCATTTCTGAGACATAATGCGCCTTTAAATTATGAAATCATTTTGTATATAAATAACATGTTTAATACATGTACGTAAGTACGTATTATATTGGCCAAGTTAAAGGACAAAATTTATAAAAAAAAAAAAAAAAGAGAGAAAAAAAGAAAACTATAGGAATGACAGGAATCCGTTTGAAAGAATTGGCATTTAATTGTTTAAATTGTTTAGCTCGAAGCAAACTCACTTGCGGCCAAAAATACTGCTTTGTTGCTATATTTTTCTGACACAGTCCATCAGGAGAATTGTTTCAACTATATCTTCATGGTAAGTTAGTAAGACTAAAATGAAATGGATACTTAACACGGTAAAAATGAAAATGTGAAGGCTCTGTTGGCATGTTCATGTGAAAAAAGTCTATTTCCTTATTTCTCAAGAAAGGCACAAGTTGAAATACATAGGCTCCCAAGAAAGGTAAAGTGATCCTAATTAGGAGGTGCTTGTAACCGTAAGACATGGGACACATTACATTCTATAGACCTGCTACACATGGTTCAGTGAATTGGTTTATTGACTGTGGATGTATAGTACCGTCCACTGGCTTCAATCCGCACCCTGACGAGCATGTAGTTTAAGACGTTGCTATGATGACATATGCCGTGTTTATTGTCTGTCAAGGCTTCATCAAGCCGAGTCTACAAGTCAGATATACTGCCTTTGATACAATTTCTCTCAAAAGATCTCCCGATCTAAGAATTTATCAATTTGTCTGTAATGACGGGTTCACCAGGAAAATATTTCTAATCCACTGTTAAACATCAAAACAATTGTATGACAGAAAATAAACAACATTATATATCATCATCAAAGACAAATGATAATAATGCAAGATGTAGTTTATTTATGTCGTAAAATTGTTTTACGCACGAGGACATGAAGTTCAAGTCTATGATATAAATTCTTAACTTGCTTGTTGCTATGCCAAAAACTCTACCGGTGTTACTGATATCAGGACACTTGACAGCTTGGCACCTCCAAATCTAGAATAAAAATCCAGACCAAACATACTTGTAACATGTTTAACAAGATGTAGCACAACAATTGAGTAAATATCACACATTCAGCACACGTAACAATAATAAAATTGACTTTAGATGAAAATAAAAACAGTGCATTAAAGACTTCGTGTCGAATAATTTAAGCCGCTCAATTAAAAAATGCCCTTTACTGACAATTTTCCTTACACGACAAATAATTTGTTCTTAACTAACAAATTGCCCTTCACTGACAAAAAATTTGCCCTTCACAGACAAAAATTTTGCCCTATACTGACTTACTGACTTACATTTTGCCCTTCACTAACAAACATTTTCTATTTACAAACAAACAAAATTACCATCACTGATTATTGAGATGGTGGTGTGATTACTGGAGAGCGGCTAATTCTTACATTTTGTGTAAGCTTCTAGCTTTATAAACATAAGACCGTTGGTCTTGCTCTGGTCACCTTTTGCTGGGTGTTCATCTGTAAGTAGGGAGTTTACAAAACAAGGCATAGATAACTGGACCACTTTGTTTTCAATGTTACTGACTAAATTACAAGAACATATTTTGGAAGGTTTTCGAAATCACAACTTGTGTTTTTTCGGTATGAACGGGCAATTGTTTATTGTCCAGAAATTATGTGGTAATTTCATGTTTTAATGCAGGCTAGATTACTTGAGGTCGACCTATTCTACATAAAAGGGGAACACACAAATTTAGACCAAATAACCTGCATAATGTAAGTGTGAAAGCATTTCGTCCTGAACTTGTCTACGTATCCTGTATGAACCCTACACACTTATCAAACATTATTCAAGTTAAATTAAGATTAATTTGTTATTTTACTTTTTTTGAAGCCTGTTTTGTAAAGTCTGATTTTTGTACTTTAGTGCATCTATACTGTTTTGAGGCAACCCAGTGTATGGTTATATAACAATATTGACAAGATCAATCGGATGCCGTCATTCTAACCAGAAATTTGTAATATAAAATGCCGGGTAAATCAGTGTATGATGTAATTATAAATAATACTGTAAACATACAGTGTGAAGATACAAAATGAAACAATTATAAGACACTTTTATAAATAAACTATATGTAATATAGCATTTATTTCAATATTTCAAACTAATCAGATTA